CCCCAAAACCCCAAAACCCCAAAACCCCAGTAGATAACCTAGTAATAGAATAAAATTAATCATGTGTTAAATATGAAGCAAGAATAGTAATTTTGCCAACAAGAATAAAACAGAAAATTTAAAATAAATTTAATTTCCATCCATTATTTTAACTTGTTCAAGTTCGTTTACTGCAAATATTTGCTCGGCTTCATTTTGTGTTATTAAGCAACCAAGAATGCTTACTCTTCTGATACTCAATCTTAAATCTGGAGAACTGGCTAGTCCTTCTACCAAATTCTTGAATTCGTCAAGGTTGTTCTCCCAATCACTAGAATAAGATTCTCCTGAATATGATAAATCCAGCTCCTGGATCTGGCAATTTGTAAGAGCCTTTGAGAAATCAGGAGCACTTGGAACTGACAATATGCAATCTGGCAATCTTAGCACTCTCACATGTTTGTAAGCTGCTATCAACCTCTTTAATTGGCGGAGGTTAAGGCTGAAACGGCTAAATACAACTTTGCGAGAGATTTTTGAGCTGAGATTGATCAGCAAGTTAAAATAATTAGATCTATTCAGATTCATTCGATTTGGGGAGAAAACTTAGAGATAGTTTACTCTATCTGGGAATGAGAATTCTAAAAATTCAGCAAAATGCATATATTTACACTTTATATCATCTAAACCGATCTTATTTATATCACATAACTTTTGATATTTTAGACTTCTCACAATCCCCTCAGACATAGCATTTTCAAAATTTAAATAAAGTCGATCATCCTGTGAATCTTCTTCAGGTTCATAATTCCAGAAATGATCTCTTATATCTGCTGAATAAAACTTGTCATTAATGCTTTCACGCATTTCACAATCTTGGGTTTGGGCCTCCTTCATAAGATATTTTTCTTGGCTAAAATTAGAGATTAGCAAGGGCTTCAAGTCATGCCAGAATTGGTCAGGAAAGTTGGAGTTAGGCCAATAGGTTACGTTTAAAGCGATAATTGAGAAGGATAGCTTTTAGGAGGGAACAAAATTTTTTGGAATAGATATCAAGTTTTAAGGAGATAATACAGCAAAGCTCTTTTTGCTTTAACAAGAATCTTTGGTCAAGAAATTTATACTGCAATTATTTTTGGTGCTGACGATTTGATCCAAAGTTAAGTATTTTTAAACTGTCACAAATAAGAAGATAATAATTCTAAGAACACTAGAACTAGATTTTTGCTTACCTGATAATCTGGGCGTTATTTTCCCTGATACTTATATCCATACTTTCCATTTTGTTATTATATAAAATTAGATTCTATTTTCAATCTTTTATTAGAGATATGGGGTTTTGGGGTTTTGGGGTTTTGGGG